AAAAAAAAAAAAAAAAAAAAAAAGCAGTGGGTGAAACTCCCACCTCTCACTTCATTTGCTCGCATCCTGGGCAGATCTCTGCACCTAGAGTTGGCCACAGTCACACTGCCCCATGTCTCTAAGTATCAATGGTCACTAAGCACAGCCTAGTGCACAGTTCTGTCACCATCCTTCCTCAGCTGGAGCCCTCACCACCTAGCACTTAGGTGTCAGGAGCTGATCAGTAGGTTGAGTTCTACACAGTTCTCTCCCGACCTCCTGCCTGCCAAGTGCCAGAGAAAGAGTGATATGATGCGCCCTGGGCCAATGCTGGGGAGAAAGTTCCTCATATTCTCTATGGAACACGGCTCCATCCCTTCACAGAAGAAGCCAGGATGTCGCTTCTGGGAAGTTCATCATCAGATGCAGCCATGGCAACTGCTAGCCTTTCCATTCATCTTACCTTTTCTCCTTTATTTGCTTCTTCTCCCTTCTCTGCTTCTAGAAGGGCATTGCAGATGGTGGTCCAGAGCTTCCTAGACTTCATCTCATCCACCAGGGCTATTCTGTCAATGTCCTGACTGTCGATGTCATCAACAAGTGTCCAGCATATTGAACAAAGAGTGTATAAATTCAAAAAGTTAAAGCACTGCTTATAAAGCAAACACCTAAGTATTCTCGGAAGAGCAAAAACCAGAACATGTCCTAGACTCAGAATGGTATTGTTCGTCTAAATTGTCAATTCCTGAAGCAAGAGGCCAGCGGAGCACTGACTCTCCTGCAAGTCCTATTGAAAGACTTTATCTAGAGATCTGTTACAGAAACCCTTGGATTATGAGTCACACCATTACAAATGTGAACTCCAAATGCATCACATAATTAATATAAAATCTAGAACTTCTAGAAAAAGTATAGGGAAGACCCAGAGAGATCTTACATTAGGTAAAATTAGGTGAATTGTATGAAAAATACAATCTATGCAGAAAAGTAGATTGGAGTTCATGAAAATCACAACCTTTTGCGCTGTGGAAAGTATTATGAAGAAAATGAAAACACTAAGTACAGCCATGGAGAGAATGTTTGCACTGTCTGTATCTGGTGAAGGAGCTGTGTACAGAACATATGAGGAACATTCCAAACTCAATCGGGAGAAAAGAAAGCATGCTGTTACAACCTGGGCGGAATATATGCACAGACACTTCACTGAAGAAGCACAGATGGAAAAGCAGCCCATGAATAAAAGTGCGGTATTGCCAGTCACTAGAGAAATGAAAATTAAAATCATAACACGATAGCAACTGAATAATTAGGGTATATAAATGCTGGCAATGAAAAGGACCTTCCTTTGGCTGTGAGAAAGCAGTGTTACAGGTTTTGCAGCGAGTGTGGCCTTTCAGATGCATTCAGACAAACATGTAGCATGTACACAAAAAACATCCTCCCAGATACTTACCCAAGTGAAATGAAAACTTATGCCCACATAGCTTATATGTGAATCTTTGCAGCTGTAGTCTTTACAACTGTCCCAAACTAGAAGTGACCTGGTGCGTCTTAACTGGGAAAAGACCGAATAACCTATGGTGGTATATCTCAGTGACAGGGTACAACTCAGTGGTAGAGTGGACAACTGATACGCATAATTCCAGAAGTGCCCTGCTAAGGTGAAGGGAGCTGACTCAACCTTCTCTCTGATGATTGTATCTACAGGGTGAATCTACAGCAATGAGAAGCTCATCAGAGGTTTCAAGGGCTATGAGTAGGTGAAGAAGTTAACTACAGAGATTTTACACACAAATATTTGGGGATAGTGGGATAAGTAGCTTTGTATTTTATTTGTCTTGATGAAAATTTTGTCTAAAACCCAGAGAACTGTCCACCAAAGTAAATTTAATTATATGATAATTAAGAAGACAAAACCAAAAACAGTGAATGCAGTAAATGCCACAAATTGTTTGGCTTGGTTTTAAACATATAAACAAAATAAAAATCCATACAATGACTAGAAAGATGACTCATAAAAGCTCATATGTATATAAATCCTTGTGAAATCTCAGAATGCAAAGTATAAACAAATATCCTAAAATTTTAATAAGAGAAATACAGGGAGAATAAAACCCACAAAACAATCAGAATTACAATGACAGCAGATTTATAATAAGTTAACCTACAATTCTATCCCTAATCCAACTGATGATCAACGTACTTCTTGCAGCCATAAGTAAGTTAACTTCTGCTGAACCACCTCTGGAAATTTCCTGAGTTTGTAATTTCCTGGTTCCAGGAAAACAAAGATAAAAATAAAAACCAGTTAATTTTGCAACTGAGTTAATAATACAGCAAAACATATAGAATGCCGTAATCATTATTGGTTCAAGTCATATCCTAAAGTCAGCAGACATTAAGCAGAGTGTCTTTAAAAGAATGGGATAAATTATAGTTAATAGATAACAAATAGAGAATTGAATATTAATATGTTGAGGAAGGTAT